ATCTGGAACATCTGATTGCTTGTGATGCTTTGGATAGGCCACTTGCCCATAAAGGTCATACTTATCAATCAGTTTCAACACCGTGGTAAGCACACTAGCATTTCCAGCAGACATCTCATCTATATAGTCCCTATTCCCCATTATCAGCGTCTGTTCAAAGCATATTAGTAAGTTGTCCAAATTTTTAATTGCATTGCTTAATGGTAAATTGAGTTATTGGACAAATTCACTTACAAGATTAGCTAGGTCTCTCAGAGGACGGCATTCTCCAAAGGCTTTCAAAAGAGTGGTTAAGTTCTTCTTTGGATCTGGTCTTGACAATGCCAAGATCATTGGCTTGTGAGGATTTGTAAGGAACCGCATCAGCTGCCAAAGGATTTTGAATATGAGGCAACGACAGGATTAAAGTTTAAATGCACGATTATATGATGAGGAAAAGGCACTCACTTCTGACCATATTGTTGGAAGTGCTTTTGGGGAAGACCCATCGGTACCACCAGTAAGTTGAGTAAGTTCCCCATCAACCTCGGGAGCATCTTCTTGGACCACAACATTACTGAAGTCCATGCCCGGAGGTATAACCTACTTAGGGAATGTACTTAGTTAGAAAAAGAAACAATCGCATTGCCATATGTCATGTTCATCTTCATTTTCATAGATAATTCAAAATCATGAAATTAGATTTCAATCCTCAAGTTTCTTCTTGTAGTCAAAATGGGATTGGAAGTAAAATTATACATTCTGGATCTGGAGTCATTCTTCCTTTTCTAGTTATCCATATTATAAAAGGACCAAGATCAGGAAACAAAAATTAAAACAAAATCATTTACACATATTCTTTCTTCCTTTTTCTAATTTTTCAACACCCAAAACATCCTCGATAAGGCAGTGCTAGATATAATAAAAAAGAAAAAAGCAAAACAAAGAAAATCATGAGGAATAAAGCCACTGGCTTACCACCATCCTCGGCATGTAACGGCCATGGCAATTTACTCCTCGCCTAGCACGAGCACGCAACACTTTCTCAAGTTTGACATCAAACCCATCATAAAGTCCCCATTGCTCGTCGATCTCTTGTTTTGTACTTGTAATAACAACTTCTGCAGCATCAAGGGAAAGCTCTTCTGCTTCTATCCTCCTCATAATCTTATAAGTTGAATTGATGTCCTCCTTTGATTGGCGTCCCTGCTTAAG